TCCCATCCCATCCCATCCCATGGATCCCATCCCATAGACCCCATCCCATCCATCCCATCCCATCCCATCCCATCCCATCCCATCCCATCCCATCCCATCCCATCCCATCCCATCCCATCCCATCCCATCCCACCTCACCCGACTCCCTCTGGAGCCACCGATGCCAGGGTAGGCACCAGCAGAACTCCAAATCCCGCTGCTGTGGGGACTTCCCTGTCATTCCCTAAAAATCCCTGGATTTAGTTTGTCAGTGTTTCCCTTTCCCCACATCCCGGGCCTTATTCCCACCCTGCTCCAAAGGAATCATTCCAGAGAAAGACCTGGGGGTGCTCCGGGAATTGGGGGTCCTGGGGGGATTGTCCTTAACAAGATGGATGGGATGGAATTCCTGGACGTGGGAGCTGGGGGGGTCCAGAACCAGAGGGGTTTGGGGATGGGATGGGGATGAGGATGGGATAAAGATGATGAACTCAGCTGCCCTAATTTTGGGCTAAAATCAATGCCAATAAAATCCATAAATCCCTCCAGCCCCCTGGAGCATTCCCAGGATTTTTGGGATCACTCCTGTCTGTTCCCAGCACAGGGAGGAAGGGGGGGGTTCATCCCCCAGGATGAACAGGAGGTGTTGGCATTTCCAGATTGGCCTGGGTGGGAAAATTCAGGAATAAAGGGAAAAAAAAAAAGCAGGAATATGGTTTTGGGAAAAACTGACCTGGATCCGCCAAAGATAGCAAAAATCCTAAAAAAAATCCCCAAATCCCAACGCTGAACCCTGACAGCTCCGTGGTGACTGGGGGAGACGCTCAGCCCCCCCAAGATGGGGTGGAGGTGGCGCCTTGGGGACATTGGTGCCATGGAGGGTCCCTGTGTCCCACCACGACAGGACACTCCGTGTCCCTGTCCCTGTGTCCCTCGTCCCCACCAGCAGCACCCTGCACACCCCGTGTCCAGGCTGGGGTCCCCATGTCCCCACACGAGGTGTCCCCATAGCACAGAATGGGGTCCCTGTGTCCCCTGAGGGACCCTGCTGTCCCCTCAGAGGGGGGGTCCCTGTGTCCCCTGAGGGACCCTGCTGTCCCCCCAGAGGAGGGGTCCCGCTGTCCCCTGAGGGACCCTGCTGTCCCCTCAGAGGGGGGTCCCGCTGTCCCCTGAGGGACCCTGCTGTCCCCTCAGAGGGGGGTCCCTGTGTCCCCTGAGGGACCCTGCTGTCCCCTCAGAGGGGGGTCCCTGTGTCCCCTGAGGGACCCTGCTGTCCCCTCAGAGGGGGGGTCCCACTGTCCCCTGAGGGACCCTGCTGTCCCCTCAGAGGGGGGGTCCCTGTGTCCCCTGAGGGACCCTGCTGTCCCCTGAGGGACCCTGCTGTCCCCTCAGAGGGGGGGTCCCGCTGTCCCCTGAGGGTCCCTGTGTCCCCTGAGGGACCCTGCTGTCCCCTCAGAGGGTTGATCCCTATCCCCCCCCCTCCAGTCCCAGTTCCAGCTGCCAGCCTGGGGGGTGACCCCCAACCCCCCCAGCCCCACACCGGGGTCCCGCTGTCCCCCCTGCCAGTGCCACCCACTGCTGGCACCCCCTGATTCTCATCATTCCCCCAGTGTCACCCTGAAATTGTCACCACAATGTCACCCCTAATTCTTGTCCCCCCAATTCCCATCACCCCACTGTCACCCCTAATTCGTGTCCCCCCAATTCCCATCACCCACTGTCACCCCTAATTCGTGTCCTCCCCAGCTCTTGTTGTTCCCCCCCGTGTCACCCCCAGCTCCCCTCACCCCTCCCCTCCTCCTCCTCTCCCTCCATCTCCTTTCCCGCTCCGCGGTTTTTCCAAAGCTTTTCCTGCTGAGAGGACAAAAAACCCCTTTCAGGCTGGCGGGGAGGGGGCCCCCCCGCGCCCCCCCGAGCGCCCCCGTTTAACCCCTCGGGCACTCGGCGTTACAAATTTGGAACAATATTTATTAAAATACAAAAATACACTTGTTTTTTTTTTGTTGGATTCGCGGTACAGTCGGATCCTTCCGGCGTTTACAGCCCGAGAGGGAACTTCTGCATCTCCTTCCTGCCTTGCACCCCCCGGACACCCCCAAACCCTAAATT